GTCGCGAGTCCAGGCGCGACAATTTGTTGTTGCTGCTGCTGCTCGCGCGCACCCAAGTCGGGATCATTTTTATTTCGTGTTATTCTTCTCGCGAGGCCGTGACGAAATTGCCTTTGAATTTAATTAGAGTGCGAAGACGCATGGCGAAATTGCCGCGCGAGTGAGCGACTGGCACCGCTGCTGCAGCGCATCTGCACGGGCCGCGCGCGCCGAGTACGGTATGAATGGAATCTCCTATATAACGCTGCACGCACTTCCTTGGTGGGCGCGTAGACCTCTCGAATTTATCAAAACTTCGCACGCCTGCACAGGCACATGCGTTTCATAGAAATTCGCGGCAGAGACACGCAAGTGTGCGCATACGTGCAGTCTCGAGCGATGTATCCCGGAATCAGAGTCGCGAAAACGTCGAGACGTTTAAAGATAATAATACTGCGCTGTACGTACCAACCCATATACATAGGTATTCAAGTTCTCGAACTTGGCGATGCTCTACCTATATAGGTATGGCTAGTACCATAAGCTGCCGTATGGGTATCGGCATCGGTTTTCCTCAAATTGCAAAATTGCCGGAGGGCTCGTCTTTGCAATTACTTTGAAAGGCATTCGTTGCGCGCCGCTCGTGTGCGACATATTTATATAGCGTATACTGCACATACACACGCTCGCGTACGTGTTATTTTCAAATAAGTAAAATACCAAAAAAGCGAGCGCGGGGAGAGAGCGAGTTAGAGCCGAGCGAGTACAGTGCATTCCCCTTCAATCGCGCATGCAGCAAAGTCTAGCCGCAAAAGCTTATATTCATCGTGTGTTTGCCGTGAACACGTACGGCATATATACGTATACACGCCATGTGTCTGCCAGCGGCATCGATCAACGTCGTGCACAGTCGCGCGCTTACAAAACGCCACGTACTCTAACGTGTGTAGCCGGCTATACTACTTCTGTGTGTGTGTATAAATGTGTGTGTACATGTATCTGCACACTCACTAGCTACACAACACAGCCGAGAATATAAAATCGTGATAGCATGGCTGACGCGCGTTTGCGAAAGAGGTGAGCGAAAAAATAGAGGGACGAGAGTTTGCAAGTCATTATAATATCCGAGCGACATTACCGAATTGCTTTTACATATACATATATGTATAAATATCGCGTGCACAATTTTATCGAGAAAAAATCTTAATTGCTAAGTAATGACTGTATGATTGGACTGCTTTAAAAGGGGGGCCTCATTATGCGCCCCGCAACTGAGCAACTCTTGGCACGCGCGCGCTTACATCGAATTCGCGCATTATCATAAAATAATCGGTTCATCTCGCTTCTCGCTCCTCGAGAAAAAAAATTGTCTCGCGAGAACGCGTCTTTACGTATACACACACACACTCGCGCGATTAATCTCGAGGAATTTTTCCCTGACCTATGTAAATGAGAAAACGACGATTTTTCAATTCCTCCTCGGAGTTTTGATTAATTTTAGAACTCGGATCGCCCGGATGCGACTCCTCGACGCGTCTCAGCCTCGCGAGAGCACGCGCAACGACAAGATTAAGCTGTTACACCGTGTCGCTTATTTTGTGCGCTCGATCATTCGTTTGACTCGGCGTGCGACTAGAATCATGGATATACATAATAACCGCAAATAAACGCGACGATTCGGCATTTTTATAACCGCGTAAACATGACTCGTATATATCTTGATGAAAATTCGCGACTTTGCGCGCGTGAATTTCTCGACTCGTCCAGTCCGAGTCCAGAGCAGATGACAATAACTCTTCCTTTCGCTCCAATTGCTGCAATAATCGTGCGCGCACGGCTTCTATGTTTTTCTTCGACGCAATCCTATACATATACTTTTTTACTTTTGCATCGTCAACTTCTTCTTCTTCTTCTTCTTGTCTTCTTCGAGCGCGCGCAACTTGTGATTTACGCGCTTACGACTGCAATCTCCTTCCGACATGCGTTGCACGAGAGTAGCAGTCTGCTCGAGTTTGATTGAGTGATGCAAAGTGATCTAGAGGAGTAATACACTCGGAAATTTTAAAAGCCAGCCTCGATCGTAATTTTTATTTTTTATTTTTTGCCTATTTTTCAAATTTACAAGACCGTCCGAAAAGACCACCAAGATGAGTTCTAAGCGTGATTTTTGATTGATTGGACATTTTTAATCAAAAATATGAAATAAATCAGTTTAGCGAAGAAAATTTAAATAAAAAGCAGTCGAGGGAGCAACAATAGCACCTTTAATGTCTCCTTCCTGGAAAGCGCAGTTATATTTGCGTGTATCAAGCTTGCGCATCAAAGCGATCGATGCTTTCTCATTATAATCTCATTATCAAAGAATACATCTTGCGCCATCTTTCATTCTTTCCTTAGGCCGCTTAGTTTTGCAAGAGCGCGCGCGCAACTTCTTGTTCACGGGTGAGTCGAATTGAGTCTTGAAAAAAAAAAAAAAAACGAAAGAAAGAATAAAAAAGTCCCGAAAGTTCTCACATTTTTCAGAAATTTTTTTTTCACTCCCGAGAGCAGCTCAGCGAAGAGAAACTGACTGTTGTCGGAGTGCAGTTAAGTTAAGTGGCTTTTGCAAAGATCGGTATTTTGTTAATTCGCGAGGGCTCCGAAGAACAACGGTCCAGCGAGTTCCCATAACGTATCGAGGACGCGCGCGAAGAAAGCACGTATGTGTGTGTGTGTTTGCAGCGCCGCGGCATTATATCAGTTCTCTCTTTCTCTCATTTTTGAAGATTTTTTGCCCGCTGAGTAGGCGACGCGAGCCTGTGCCGCGCGCATGGTCATTCCAAAACCCTCAAGAATTCTCCAAAGTCCAAGGGAAGGGGGTCGTACGCGCTATAGCTCCCTATAGCTCCCTGCCTGTATATATACGTGCTGTACAGCTGTGTATAGATATACACGTATACAAAGCACATAGTAGTGTGTATACGGGACGGAGACGGCGGAGCGCCATCCGTCTTCATCGGTCGACAGCGCGACGGGCGGCAGCGGCAGCAGGCAGCGCCTCGAAATGCTCCACCAGTGGAGAAGAGAAGAGAAGAGAGAGAGAAGTTTTCTTCTTCTTCTTGATGCTGATGCGATGCCGTTGCGCTTTGCGCGCGCGTTAACTTTTTCCACCGACTTTTTTCTTCTCCTACTTTCTCGGGCTCTGGCCTCTGAGGGGTTTGTCTGCTCCGCAGCGAAATACTGATGTTCGTCCTACTATATTCGAGGGAACTGCTTTCTTTTTACTTCTTCTTCTTTTTTTTTCGGGAAGCCCTGCGAAAAAGGGCCGATGTAACTTCTCTTATGATATTTCAACTGACGTTATCATTTCTAACTTTGAGCGAAATTTTCATAAGTCAGGGAAAAAAAATTTTTAGTCAAGAGAATTTTCTCTTACCGGATTAAAGCACCGAGCGATTTCTCATCTCGCTTCGAAAAAGTATTAATTTCCTATAATTAAACGTTCGATACGTGCGATATCAGCGAAGCGAAAACTCGTTACTTGTATACATCGCGGATGCAGTCTCATCTCTGCGCTGATCGTTTTATCCCCCCCCCCCCTTCGAACACGTGTGTGCCAACTATGTAATTCCGCGTGAGATTCGAGCTTGTGTGAATGTAGTTTCTCGGCCGTCCTCCATAAGAGCAATTAATATCTCCGTGTGGCGAAAAATTCGAAACTACCCGGAACGAGAAAATACGCTTGACGACCTATTGCGACGCGTGCACCAGACCAACTCGTCTCGTGTACACAAGTGCGTGCGAGTGTGTAAACATCTACGAGACCCTCTGCGTCTATTATGTATATCGTATCACAGGCTCACATGTCTACGTCGTATTAAAAAGTCACAAAACTTTTAAAAAAAATTGTCTTACCCGCGTCTCGCAGGATAAAAAAAAGAATAGAAAAGGACACGATGGATCAGGGTAAAAAATATAATCAAGTCGAATGAAGCTCTTTGTATTCCTCTAGTTGTTCCGCTGCTTCTTCCACCACAGCTGCCTCAGCCATACCGTGTAATAAATTCTACGTCGCGTCTTTCCTATTTTTCGATTGGATTGATGTAATGAATTCTCTTGAATGATATTTAAATTACAGCACTGACGTGCGATAATTAATAAAACCGCGCAATATCGGATTCGCCTCGGACACAGTGTCGCGCTGTCACGCATCATAATTAAATTAAAAAAATACAGCACTTGTTCGACACTTGCTTTATAGAAAAATTAGTAAGACGTAAAATTCTTCTGGCTAAATATTAACATAATTCAAGCGAGACATTTAGTATATATAAGTAAAATAACAAGTTTATCTTCAAATCCGTGAGATTTTCGAGGAGAAAAAAATGAACTGTCAGCGACACGGTATAGTGGGATATATGCTATAAGCGAAAAGGGCTGCTCTGCTGCGCCAGGAAATAAGAGAAAGAGAGAGAGAGTCAGGCGTGAGCGTCTAGAGAGAAAAACGATAAGCATGGAACTAGTGTTAGCTGCTGTTCTCTTTGTGGACTTTTTCTGGGAATGTGTTGCTGTACACATACACACAGACCTCTATATACGCGTTTATGTGTATATGTATTCTATATGAAATTCGGAGGAGAACATTATTAATGGGATCTCGGAGGAAACGAACGCGTCCGCGAAACTCGCGATGTTGTCGCTTGAATTCTCTTACCGTTTTACCCGACTACGATAAATATGATGTACAAACTTTTACAACAAAATATCTCGCATTATCTTTTGTATGCATTTTCTCTATTTTTTCAAAGTTACGCACTTGTTTGTGACATTGAGCAAATTTTTCTCTCTAATTTTAACATAAATTGATGTCAAAAAAAGTTGGCATACTTTATTTTTCGTACATATTTTAATTTTTAGGGTAAAATTAAGTATAAATCATCACTTTTAAGTTAAATAAAATAATATTGAATATTTGATAAATAAAATAATACGATTTACTGTTGAATTATTGACGAAAAAATCCATGGATTGTATGATTCCAGAAAGAAAACGAGGTCGACAAACGTACACGCGCTATCAGACGCTGGAGCTCGAAAAGGAGTTCCACTTCAATCGTTATCTGACGCGGCGTCGGCGCATCGAGATCGCCCACGCGCTCTGTCTAACCGAACGCCAGATCAAAATCTGGTTCCAGAACAGGCGCATGAAATGGAAGAAGGAGACCAAGACGAAGGGCGAGCCCAATTCCGGGGACGGTGACACCGACATCTCACCTCAAACTTCGCCGCAGGGTTGACTCTACGATTATTCGGATACGATTTAATCCAATGCGTTCGTATGAAAACAAAAATACATACTAGGGAATAAAAAAAAGAGACGACGACGGTTAACGATAAAGCACAAAGACTATTATTAATTAAATAAATAATATATACGCGTACATTGACCATGCGAATGCGACGAAGCTAGAAAAGCACAGTCCAAATACGCTCGTATCGAGTAAGAGAGACGATTGAGAGAGAAACGGAAAATGTTTTGGAGAAAAAGACGCAGCCGCAGGAGAGCGTGTTTCGCGCCACTCTCAACGGAACAAGCCAATCAACTTATTTCTTTGACGTATCATCGTGCACCTACTTACCTTTTCGGGCTTTCTCTCCTCTCATTCGCATATTTCCTTCCCATTCGAAAGCACGTTGTATAGGAACAAAAAAGTACTACAAAATGAAAACGCTTAACTTGTCGGTTGTTACAAACAAGCTGCTCGTACCAAATATTGAAAGAGGAGGGAGAGACTTAATATTGTGAATATTATTAGTTATGCCCACATTAACGTGTTCTGTTTTTTTATTTAAATAATTCATTTTATTAGGTTCTAACGAAAATGAAAACCAGTAAAACCCCAAGGCTTTTTATCCTACGCGATGTGTACGCATAATGCATTGAACGAATAATTACCTGTTAATGAGAGCCGAGATATGTTGAAAGAAAAATTGTACATGAGTGATTATCAACGAGATAATTGGGAAACGTGTGTTGTCGTTTATTACCTTAAAAATTGACGGGAATATGCGCAATTAAAATTAAAATACGTTTATACAAATTATAATTTGTCTCGTCGAGGGTATTTTATAATCGAAAGTCTTGTATCAAAATATTGAGTTGAGGCGATGTACATTGGCCGTGAAAAAAATCGTGCTTTAAAATGCATTGAAAATTTTTATTTAACGACCATTTTATAAAGAGTGAAGTGCATGTGAATTCTGTGTGTCTGGAAACGAAATATTCTTGTAATGTTATTATATAGATACATATAACAAAAAAATTATCGATGTCTCTTTTATGTAGAAAGAAAAAAATTAGCACTGGTAAACACTCGTACGAAGAAAGTCCGCGTGAATCCAAAAGATTTGAAGGCAGGAAAATGTTGGATTTTGGTTATATTTATAATTCTATAAGTATAATTGTCGATAATGATAATTACGATAGGATTTGACAATAAAATCCGATGGTAATTAATCATTATAAACGTGCGTGTAATTCATAATCTAATCATTAAGTATGTATCGTGCTAGAGGCGTAAACGTCGCGTAGCATCCAATAGTAATTGTATACATATTATTTTTGTCTTTTCGTGGCTAGTTGTAGATATTATACATACGAATTACTAAGGGCTAATATAAATGCGAAGGGTCAAATAGAGAGAGAATCATGCATTATTACAAATACATACGATATATTTCGTCGTCTTTTTTGTGTAGCGCGATTTGTATACAACTTCATGTAGGACACACATCGCTTGCCGAACCTTTTGTCTAAAGATTCTGTTTCGTACGGTTTATGAATGAGAATGTTTGGTTTCTTTGTTTTTTTAATTTTCACTGTAATATCGTATTTTTTTTATCGATCGGCGGCTGAATTGAGCCTCGCCAGGTTTCGATTTATTTTGCAAAAACGGTGACTTGACGTGGAAACGTGCTAAACGGTGTAACGAGCGACTTTCGTTCGATATGGTTTTTACCTCTTCGCTTTCATCTCTTTGACCGGTGCCATTGTACATTATTATTACTATTACTATTTATTATTCTCCCAAGTACACAAAACCAAATATTAGATTTTAAGTTTTCAGAATGAACGATATCGGTCTAAGGTAATTTATATATTATACATACATGATATAAATATATATTTGTATAAATTTGTCACTATATGAAGTTAAATAGTTAATGTGGATAATTAATCAATTAAGAGAAATAAAAGTAATTTAAAAAAAAAAGTATTGTATCAATTGAGGCTCTTGGGGTGGTGTATGGAGTCGGTAATAGTTAACACGCGACAGTCAAAAAGGCCAAAAAATGTCGAGAGCGCAGGTGCACAATAATCGGGCTATCAGCCAGGGCAAGTCACGTAAAAAGCCTTCTTTTATTTCCTTCTTACCCACCAGTTGCCGTAAATTTCGCCATCTCGAGTCATCCCAGTTTCAACAATCTGGGTTAAATGAAAAAAAAAAAAAATTAATAAAATAAAACCGAAAGTAAAAAGCAATGATCGGAACTCTGTAGGAAAATTTTTTCGAACGTTAGATAGAAGGCGTGACGCATTGATATACGTATGTATGTTGATAGCTATATGAATATTACACATATGAATATTTATATGCATATGCATATTAATAAACGATATGTATAGCATTTCGCTGGGTCCGATTGCGTACCACCTCTCGCGACCTTGATCTCGGTACCATTGAGTCTTCTCTTATATGCGTAGATGATGATGAGTGTTACATGGTACAATAAAAAGTGAAAAAAAATCGTGAGTACGATACATTCAGCAAAGAGTCTCTGAGCCTGTTAAACGTAGCTTCGTTGCAATGGACTCTTTGTACACCGATGACATGCGTAGCTCAATTTCTTTGTAAGCCTAGTCCAATGATAAGATATACATTGTAAATTTTAATCTGTATCTTAATTATTGATAAATATTCTAAAGTTTTGGTTAAAAGATGTAATAAACTTGAGCTTTTACAACAAAAAAAAAACTTTTTATCGAATTTTCATTTTTTTTTTACTCTGTATTCTGTACGAAGAAGTCCGCACTGAGATATCCATTAACAGGTGAACTTTTGACATTTTACCAAGGCGTAATGATCATCATCATCATTGCCACTATGTAAATAAACGAAAAAGACGTTATTAGTTCGATAAAACTTAAAATAATCGACTGGTCGAGCGCGATTGTATACTCCTTGAATGATTTTAGAAATATTTTTCTTATTTTCTCCGATAAAATGTATGAACATATGCGGATGTTGAAAAGGGCCGAAAGTCTCTTTTGTAAAAAACTTTTGCTTCACGGATACGTGGCTAAGTTACCAACGACACACGATCGTACGCTTTTACGTTTTTATTTGTTTACGTTTACTTTTTCCGATCGCGCGAAAACATTACGGAAGAAAGGTGTAAGTTCGAATACACACACACACACACACACACACACACACACATCTTATACACACACACACACAAACATACACATAAACACACACCCACTGAAACGTTCGTTCATTTCGTCGCTTATATTCGCTTTTGATATAAAAATATCGAGAAGCGCGCAGCACCCAATATTATCGTTATTACGCTTTTCTACGCGCGCTGAAACCATAAAAAAACCGTCCGATATCATGTGCTACGAAGAAAGCTCTATATATACGTAAAAAGGCGCGTCCACAAAGCTCGCGTCGACAATTTCTATATACGTAAAGGATTTGTGCTCGTTACTAACGTGTAATCGACATGTAAGTCAAAAAAATGTATTCTCAAATCGTATTATTAAATAATTACTGTGTGTAATAAAACTAGTGCCGCGGAGCTTCTTGAATCACACGAGGTCTGCATGGCACGTTGTGACCATGTATACTCAGAATATACGCCGATGAATGAACTAACGTCGTAGTTAAACGATTTAGATAATCCTGATCATCCGCACATGAAAAATAAAACATATATATAATCCAAGTTGTACATGTGAATCGCGCGTCGTGACAAAATATTGTGCTGTGTTGTAAAATTAGTTTGTCACTTACATAGGTTTTTATTATTCACGAATAAAGTATGAAGGAAGGCGAGTAGATAAAAGTGAGTGAAAGAAAGACGATAATGTTTAAGGAGCGTAAAGAAAACGATATACGTAAATTGAGATAATACAATATTACAATTATATAAAATATGTATACACAGGTTTAAATATACGAAAAAAAGGAGAAACAATTATCGATTTTAGATTGAACGCGTGAGATTTTTCGATGATAAAATGCGGTCGTACGTTAAATGCATAATAAAAAGATTTAAAATACGCCCTGTGCAAATGTACGACTTTATTAATTAAACTTGAATAAAAATTATACGCATTAAAATTATGAAAATAAGTCAAATGAATAATGAGAAAAGAAAAAATTGTGTAATATATCGATGCATCGATGAAACAAAACTGTTTGTATTATTTATCGATTGGCTGCTATTATATAATATATAATTAATAACTCAATAAAAATGCTTAAAAATATTCACTAATGTTTTAAATCATTTCTCACAATTACTTTAAAAAAATTATGCATACTTTTTTAACAGTATTTTATTTAGAAATTTTAATTTTATTTTTGGTTTTAGTAAACACACACATCTAAGTCCATAATAGGCCTAGTCACACAATCAGTATTCAAAGAGATTGTATTTGTTCTTGGTCTTTGACCTCACCCAAATAAAGATAATAATAAGTTATTGAGGTACTGACATTCAAAATAATTCCGTGAGAAATTTTCGGATACTATGTACATATACGTATGAATTATAATCATGCAATGCTATCAAAAGTATGTTTATTGATTATAAAAATGAATGATTAATAATACTCAGTAAAACATAAAATTAGGAAAGTTAGTAATGTTTGCTGAGCGTGACAACCGAGATTTTCATTAATAAACAAGGAATCAAGTGTTATATTAAAATCTAAAAAAATAAGGATGAATGATATTCTTAAGTGATTATTTTTATCAACTGTAAAAAAATTCCAAAAATCTCATTTCAAATAAAAAGAGTCTAAGAAAATGGATGAAAAATAAAAGATATTTGTACAGAGACACGAGTTCCATTCTCTACTGGCACAAGTGCGTTCAACAAAAGTTCCTTGGGTTCCCCTGTCCTCCGACGACAGGCTTTATTATTATGCAGCCATGTGTATAGTTTATGACTCGACAATTTACCTAATCACTTGCGATAAAGATTCTTACATTTATCTTCTCTTTTGCGGCTGTGCGAATATATACGCGTGCGCAGACGCCAAAAGAGCATGAAATGAAAATAAATCGTTTCATCGTCAAAACGAATCCTTTGCAGGCGCCTACGAATATTCATTTCTGACAACTTGATGAGATCACGTTGTTGGTTATTAATATTCGTAGTAACGCAAGCGCATTTTCGGCAGTTTATTGATTAAAAAATTGTATGAAGTAAGAAAATACATTGAATTTGATATTTTTCAGTCTTATGTTCAAATTTACTGTGCTTTTGAACCTATTTGTGAATTTTATAAAATGGAAAGACTGATGAACTAGCATGATGCAAGCTGAATTGAAAAAAGATCGATAATATAATCATATTAAATGTTTATTCATACCAAAATTATAGAAAATATATTATAATGTCCAATTATTGAACATGTGCGTCGATTAATATTAAAAATGTTTAAAATTTTATTTTCTTAAAGCTATATAATCCTGTAACTAAATCTGAGAATTCTCAAGTTTTGATGAAACATAATAATAACATTGATGTACAAGGGAATGAAGCCCAAGGAACCCTCTCTTTTCTCCGAAGTGATTAATCTTGTATACGATATACCGTTAAGAGAACAGGTACCTGGTCTTTAAAAATCTTTTGTTAATTTAAAAATTTTTAATATTGCATCACGTCCAAATATCTGAGTACTTATAGAAATGAATGTAAGATAATTGAAGAAGACAATATTTTGAGATTAAATAAAATATTAACTGATGAGTTCTTCTTCCAATTTTTTTATTAAGAAACATTGATAGTTTACTTTTTTTGTGAGTAAAGATACATTAAATTTTATTTACAGTAATTGTATTAACTTCAATTTTACACACCTCAATAATTTACTCAAGTGTATAAACGAAATAATGAAGTAACCGATGTTTTGCGTAATAATATGATAAATGAATTGATAAGATTGAACTCACTTATAATAATTGTTGTAATTATGTGAACACATAAGTAATAATTTATTACCGCGGTCAGTGAAATGTATAAATTAGTCAAGTACGAAAGTGTTGAAATGAGAAATAATGTATACTGCACGTATTCATGAGAAGTGGAAAAAAAGAAAAAATCAAATCTTTGTAAGAGCTCATTGTCAAATTTATACTTATTGATAACAAATGAATTGATATTTTCAGCTCGATGCAATTCATTTGTCATGAATGTCTATGCAGATAATTTATTGAGAATGACTGTGAAATTTTTTTTAATTTGCATTAAATCATATTGTATTGTCTGTCTATAATATTGATAACGACGAACATAATAATTATAATACATAATATACATAACTGTGTTTGACGAAAGAGAAATAAAATCTGGTTGAATATGAACAAAAATTAATTCATAAGTCATAATAGATCAACCTTCACGCATTTTTGCATTTTTTGTTATCTACTGTGCGATTAAATTATGATTTAAAAAAGTCGAATTTCACGTAATCAGCAAGAAGAAGGAGCATATATCTTAAGATTCTTCATGCTCTCAAACGGATGCATCCCTGGGGGGTCTATGCGCTGTCGGGCTGCTCTCAGCATCGCACAAAAAAGGTAGTGTGTGCAACATTCTCACGTGTTGCCTGCAGCATCAGCAGAAGCCGCGAAAAAGAAGCTCGCGCAAAGTGCACTGCTCCACTCTATCGGTGTGTATGGTGAGTACCACAGCGCATATATATACGTATATAGTTTAGTATATACACACATTGTATATAAGCCAAGATGGCTTCTCTTCTCTCCTCAGCAGTTTCAAGAGAGGAGAGGATTATTATTGGCTAATACCGTAGAGAGAGCCAGGCTCCGCCTTGGCTCATGGCTCGTGACGGCATGATTTATCGGCTTTTCTCTGTCTGCTGCGCTATACTGGCCAAGCCGCGAGCTCAGCGTGCCATTCTCTTCTGAAGCCTATACACCTTTTCTCTCACTATATTACCTCTACACGTATATATATAAAATGTATATACACAAACACTCACACGTACACGCGTGCACACATGGACTACACATAATCTCTAATTCTCATGGTCGAGCTGTGTGTGCACTCGCGCTTCTGATCTATGATACCCTTTCGAGTCGATTTGCGGTTTTCTCTCTACTTCACTGGCTCCGAAAGGTTTGCAGGGCTCGCGTGTATAGCTGCATGTGACCGAGACACCCAATCGAACTCGTAACAAACATCTGGATGTGTCTGGACGCTTCGAGACTTTCGGAGCAAAGCTTGAACGTGCCGCCGAGCTTGGCCCAGCCACCGAGACGCAGAGGGATTATTTCTTGGGATTTCTCGCATGATGAATTGGCCAAACATAATAACGGCAGATACGGACCTACGGATAAGGACCCAGAGAAATAAAATACAATTTTTTCGATATTGTTTATATGGTATCGAATTTTAAGCGAACGATCAATTTCACTCGAAACGCGAACAATAATGTCGTTTTAGCCAGGGAATTTTTAATACTTGTATATCCTGCACACACTTATTTTTACTATATAATCAATTCTCAATATTTTCAAGTATACGTAAGAACGAATTTCAAGCAAAAAAATCAAACTCATCGCCCGACGTAATAATTTGGATCATGAAATTGTTCTCTCCTCGTGCATCCAATGCACCGCACACACTCGCTATCATTATAAATTTATTTTTCTTTGACGTTGCTCGAGTATTATCAATGGCATATCGGCCGGTGAATCTTTTTTTCCTCTCCCTTCATTCACCCTGTCTCAGTCTCACCCACCGCATCATTGCTCTCCTTTTAAGTAAGTACACAGGAAAATTCGTTCGTTTCTCCGAGATATACGCGAAACGAGCCGATCGAAGCAAAGTCGCCAATGAGGGGGTACACGAGCGAGCACCAGCAATCTCGTTGCTCTGCGCCGCAGCGAACGAAAACTGCAGCAGCAACTGCTCGAGTCGATTATCCATGCCAACGAGTCGTGGGCTCATATACATCGAGCTCTCAACGTCTCATTATGAGCGATACACGCTTGATATTATCTTTATTACAAGGAACGACGACGAGGACGACGAAGACTACTACGACTACGACGTACGGGGACGATTATCTCGCAGCAGCCAAGACAGGTGCCTTCGAGAGAGAATCACGAGCCCGAGCGTACATCGCGTGAAAGCAGGAGGATAACTCAACTGAACTGGCAGCTTTGTGAGTGGCGAATAGATGCGTACGCTCCGATGTGTGTCGGCAACGAGGCTCTTTGCTGCCAGGGGTACACACGCACAAGTGTGTGAAATACAATCATCGAGGCCTTGACAACTACGTCTGCTCATCGGTGGAATGAAGAGATTATCTACGGTGAGTGCGAACAATAAAATTGAAGCATTTAGTAAATAGTACATTTAATTAAAAAATATAACGAATGAAAATATACATAAAGTTTGAAATATATTTTTACCTTGACCGTAATTAACATTTAATTAGATATTATTGAACTTATGTGACATAAAAGAGCTGTCATTTATAAGTAAAACGTTTATACGAACATACATTATTGATTGAGCTAACTCATATAATTTTTGTACAGGTGCTGATGGAATTTACATGGCGACATTTTTAATAACCGCATGGGGTGGTTGAGCTGCTGGCTAAAGAACCGAGGAAACATTTGCGGTTCACGCGAGCATCTTCTTGAAAATTAAGACCGAAGACAAAATTCGGCTTTCCCTACGTGCGGTACGCGCGGCAGCGCGCAGCAACAGAAGCTACAGGCCAGTCAAAATTTATGGGCGCTTTATCACTTTTCCCGTCCTCGCAGCCCAGCGAGGTCTGGCCTGGCCGCGCGTCGAGATGAACTTTGGCACTGTATACAGGCGAACAAACTGTACGACTAGGCGTCTATGCGAAATGGATTCTTTTGCACACTGAAGCACGCGCGTCATCTGCGACGTGTCGGCGAAGGGACTTACACGCACCGGTGGTGAGTTGAAAATTGCTATTTCAACTGGCTTTTGATAACGATTCGATAAAAGTATATCAATCAAACTTTGCGCCGGATCATTGCGTCACTGGATGCAAAATTATAATTGATTGAAGAAAAAAATGAAAAATAAAGAACGTAAGATAAGGCTTATCAATCTTCCTTCC